TTCAGCGTAAAAGAACTTATACAAAATAATTTCAGACAAAAACGTAATTGAGAACAAACAATTATATATAATGAGTTTTGTAAAGCCGAAATCGTAAGAAGCAATATGTTGTATATTTTTATCTGAGGCTGAATTGGGGTTGAATGAAAAAAAAATATAGCCTGGAATGACGTATTAATTTCAATAATTGACATCAGGAATAAGAGCAGGAAGTTTCACTGGAAGTGTGTGCATAGACTAGTGTATAATAAACGGGAGAAGAGAGTACTGCAAGTCGTTTTATTACGAACGTGACATCGCATTAAAATTAAGCTAACAAAGAAAACTGTCACGTTTACGCCTATGAATTTAGAATCACGGTTACATTTTAACGGGATATGCAAAAATACATGATGAACTTGATGTCATCCTGCTTGCGTAAATTCGATTCATACCATCACCAGCTGCTACAGATTTGGAATAAAAATGAAATTGCGGAAACAAAAACTCACTGGCATACTACTTACTAGTAAAGTGACCAAGCGTATTCAGTAAAAGCCAACGAAGGACTTACTTTTGGTCTTTAACATTTGTTGTAACAGCTGGCAGACTATGGCGCTGCTCAAACAATTCCTGTCACGCTTTACAGTGAAAAACAGACGTGGGATCACGCCCTCAACTAAAACTAGACTAAAACGCAAGTTTTCACAATTAAGTGAGCTTTTTCGACACTAGAGGGCGCCGTAATGTGAAATACTTTACATTTGCTGGAATTAATTTTCGCCATAAAGAATGTTTTGTATAGTTTATTTTCAGATTTTTGACGAGTTGTATGTTAAATATTGTAGGGGAAAAAAGACATATTGCCTAGATTTTATTTTCTCTGAATTAGCCCTTCAGCAAAAATAAATTCCAAGCAAAAATAAAGTGTTTTACAGTATTAGGCCATTATTTTCTATAATAGAAGTTCCAGTTTTCTCAGCATTTCGGCACCTTGATCTTACAAGGAATAACGCTTATACTGCATAAACAGAATCACAACAAGCCATGCGTGGCACAGTCCCTGATATCAAACTTAAGATGTATAGTTTGCTTATAGAAATACATTTGAACATAAACATGTCGGAGATATGAATCCAGAAGCTAATTCTTGATTATGATGATTTTCTAAAATTAAAATGATTGACATCTTGTATCTGATCGTCAAATGAGTACTTGTCAATATTGAGAGATATTGCTCTGGAACAGTTACAGTTAATTACAATGAAATGGCTACCAGTCAGCCATTTTAAATCTGATCTGAAAAAAAAAATTACGTGCATCAAGGTCCCATAATATCTGTATGTACCAAGTTTGAACAAAATCGGCCAAGATCTGGTTCCAGAATGCCAGAAATGCTTGAAAAATGAATCAGATTGTAAACAAATTTTTGTCCATGTGCAGAATATTATGCATGTGTGAAGTTTGAAAGTAATTGGTCTAGGCATGTCCGAACGCACGCATCCACACACAGGTCAATCCATAAGTCCCTGTTTTTGACCTGTGACCGAACAGGCACTAAAAAGGGGGAAAAACAATTTCAACCCTCCACCCCAAAAAATGTGCATGACAGACCAACCCATACCATACGACAAAGATACTCCTACTATTTTCAGTGATGTTTTATTTCATTGAGATATTAAAATATACATTCAAACAAAGCAAAGAAATACAACCTAATGAAATTACATTTGTTTATCTTTCATAGAAATAACAAAACAAAAAAGTCTTCAAACTATACAAGTGCATATAATATACGATTTATATATTAAATTTTCTGTACTAATGTTTGATGAGTGATTATATTTGGAAGTTAATCACCAATGACTTCGCAAAACATGCAACATTTAGGTTACACATGCTGCTGCTTTGACAATTCCACAATACAAGAGACTATGAAGAAAAAATGTATTGTTAAAGCCCTCTATCTTGGTTAAAAAGAATAAATATACAGATATGAAAGTAGAAATCTGTCTATTATTATTCACATGACTGAAAAGGAAAAACTGTTCCTTTTACGTACAAAAAAGAAAATTTATAAAATATATATGAGAGTTGTGTTTACCACTACATGCAGTAGACTGGTATAATAATTTTAATTTTAGTCACTATTACAGAAATTTGAAAATAATCTAACTGCAGAATGAAAATTATGCCACAGTACATTGAAAACAGATAAGAGTGTAAAAAGGGCAGTGTACAAAGCAAAATCTGAATCTTCTCAATGTTCATGAAACCAGATGATAATTAGCCCTAGAAAAGTTTGTTACATGAGAAGTTTACTGGGATTGAAAAAGAACCATTCACGCACATTGATACATTTTCCTGTTTTAAGAAAAAAATAGAGTCTAATTTGCATGGGTAACACCAAAAACATGCGTAGACCCAATAATCGACATAATGTAGTGTCATAGCAGCATGTATTATCAAATTAACTATAAAATCAGCCCATGACACCCGCCCTCAAATCATGCACAGAGCATACACTGCCATGAACAGTCCAAAGGATTCTCAAGTTTCAATATAATACAAAAACTGGCATAGGAAAGTTGTGCAACTCTTAATACATCGCTTATAGACACAGTTTTCTCCCATTCATCCATGAAGACTTTCAGCATGCGATGTATTGAATAAATGTGAACTTCCTGCAAGACAAATATTATTTAAATCTTGTAGCCATGACAATATCACACTGGTACTTTAGGCTTGTAGTGGTTTCCGTAAAATGTATACTCATCGCCAACACCTTCAAAGTTGCAAGCATTTCTACCTCCACACACATAAAATTGATGAAGCTTCAGAAATGACTACACTTCTACAATTACATCTAATGCATATAGTTCACTGGATCTTCAAGAACAATGTAAATAATCTAAAAGCAAGGTGCTAACAGACGCAAAATGCATTATTAGTTTCTATTTAAAATTATGGTGTAGTATAGCAACCTGTGATCAACGATTTCCTTGACAAAAGTTAAAAATACAATAAATAGTATCACTTAAAAATGATTGTGACATCAGATAATGTACAAGCTACATTGTGTGCAGAGACACAATCAAAGGCAATAAATAGGATATAAAAGTATGAGTATTAGTAAGTATTTATTTCCTCAATAATTTGTCCCTGTACAGTTATAATTTTGCATATTAAAAATGTTATGACTGCTAATTTGCAGCAGGTCAAAATAAGAGCGAAAAAAAACAATAGCATCACCTTCAACTACGAACAAAAAAAACTGATTTTTTGCATCATTTCAATCCCACAAAATAAATCAAGTTCAATACAGTAATTTTCAATGATGAGTTGCTGATTTTATTTTACTTTTATTTATTTATACTGTGTATTTGTAGAACGATGTAGAGCGGAGATATTGTGACTGGAATGTGTGAGAAACTGAGCTAGAATATATAGATACATATGCCTGATGAGACTAACTGACTGACTAATTGGAGAGAAGATGAAAGTACAAATGTACATTAATTAAAACCACAAGTGGACTATCTGCTGTTGAAATGGTGAATCATGAATATTCATCTTGTATGCATTCTTGAGTCTACCCAACACACCTAATTTAAATATTTATTTTCAATATTTTAAAGGCAGAATCAGATAAAACCCACATTCGCTATAAGCAGCCTTAGATTTTGGTTCCATCATATATAGACATCTGTTAGGAAAACAAAGACTTCCATGTATATTAATCTGATAATCAGAGAGTCTTGTATTTTTCGATATAAGTGCTTGCAGATTTGCACTATGCATATGCATATATTTTGAGTATAAAATAAATATTACATTTGACCCACACCCTGTGTATACGCTGTTGTAGACCAATATCTAACACAGGTGAGGGAACAACAACTATCACACAATGATTGACATAAATCACATCTGATTTCATTCAATATTTGCTACGTTCACACAACAGCATTTTATCGGAGCCCAAAGGCTCGAGCCGGCTCGAGCCAGCAAAAATGGCCGTGTTAACGCATTCGGCTCGAGCCAAGTTCGGCTCCACTAAACCCTCGGGGTTGAACTCCGATAGGGTTGAGTCCCGGCATGGCTCCGAACGTGTAATCGCATCGGGGCCCAACTATCGGAGCCAAAATCACGCCCTCAATCGTCTTCTTCGAGTAACCTCTCATTTCAATTATGGCGGAGACAA